GCGTGTTTTTACATGAGTAGAATGTGTCCTTTTATTTAAAATGCATCTCTGGGTTATCTGTGGGGCAAAGGAATTTGTTCATAACCCCCCCCCCCAATATAGTCTGGCCCCCACAAGGTCTGAGGGACAATGGACCGGCCCCCTGCTGAAAAAGTCTGCTGACCCCTGCTACAGAGGGCTGCTTTCAAATTGTTCAGGGGGTCAGATAACTCCGAAACCACCAATGTTTCTGAATAATAAATAAATAAAAATTGTCCAGTAGTACCTTAGAGACCAACTAAGTTTGTTCTGGGAATAAGCTTTTGTGTGCATGCAGAGTATCTGAAGAAGTGTGCATGCACACGAAAGCTTATACCCAGAACAAACTTAGTTGGTCTCTAAGGTACTACTGGACAATTTTTTAATTTATTTCGACTGCGTCAGACCAACACAGCTACCTACCTGAACATTTCTGAAGTGTAGCTGGGTTCTCACAAGATAATATGTAGTGATAACAGCAAGAAGCTTTATTGAGCTACATAACTGGGAAACAGGGGCAAAGCAACTGCTTATATACATTCCTGAAAGCCTGGGCCACTCCCACTCCAATGTGATTGGCTGTTTAAGCTCACGGCTCAGAGTTCAAGAGCCAATGGCAGAGGCCCAAACCCTGAAATGTTCTGTGATTGGACATCATGTATCGAATCAGAACACAGGGGCTCAGAATCCTTAGTCTGGACTCAAGCTCAGGCAAACACAAACTACTGAATATATAACAGTTTCTCTGATGGAAATAGGAACATCCTAAGGAAAAGTGGTCTCAAGATCTCAAAGTAGCTGTTTTACTACAAAGGAATTTCAGAAATAGACTGGAAAGAGAAGCTGCTGAATTGCAACTCATTACCAAACTTAAAACCATGGAGAGACCTGGTCTGAACAAAGACATTGGATTCTTATCTCATTATACATGACAAAGCCATTTTTCACCTTCTCACCCTTGCTTTTCCTGTAAGACCTATTGCAGTCGTTAAGAGTCGTCAACAGGCTCATCACAGCTATCTGCCAATCACCCATTCCCACCACCCTTCTGAGTAATACCCCTCCCCACCTTCTCACTATATAGAAGGATCTGGCAACTTCTGTTTCAGTGTATCTGAAGAAGTGTGCATGCATACGAAAGCTCATACCAAGAACTAACTTAGTTGGTCTTTAAGGTGCTACTGGAAGGATTTTTTTTTTTTTTTTGTTTGACTAAGGAAAAGTGGGACATTCTGGATCAAATCAGAAACCAAGACGGCTTCTGTAAATCTGGGATTGTCCCTGGAAAATAGGGACACTTGGAGGGCCTGCAGAGGTCAGCCTTGGCCCATTCAGTGGGAAATGGCTTTTTCTGTGTTTTTAAGCAGGGTGCAAAATAAGGCAATGTTGCAGCTGCTCTCCCTAAATCCATACAAATATGAGGTTCTGCACCACTAACAAAAGCCTGCCCCCCAACAAAAACCTTGGTTATGCCCATGGTTGGAATGAGAAAAAGGACAAAGGAAGCAAACTCAAATATGGAGGAATCATATTTATTTTGATACAATAAAAGTTGCTGTTTGGAGCCATAAGAAAGTCGAGGAAGCGAGGCGGCGAGGGGGAGGGGAACCTCCTCACGTTTTTGATTTTGCATGTGGAAACCTCCGTGTTCGAACCCCCAACTTTTAAATGAACGATTCAATACATTTGAATGTTGAAACCCGAGGGAGTGTTCAGCTCTTTAGGGTGAGATCGCACCTGCTATTGGGAACGTCTCTCCTCCCCGCTGCCCTCATAAACAAAATATTAAAACTCTAGTATCAAATTCCTCTCTTCTAAAATAAAAAAAGCATTTTTTCATGAATAATAATTTGAGCTCTTCTTTGCTAGTGAGAAAACAGAAATATGTGATTTAAGGCGCTTTAATTATAATTAACACACACTTTGGAAGGAAAAAAAATCCTCTTCAAACAATCAACGTGTTTGGATCTGCACATGGAAACCAAGTTTAGATTTTTTTTAAAAAAACATCGCCAAAGTACATTCTTCCCCTGCTACATGAATTACGAAACCCATTTCCCTACCTAATTCAATGCCCTGCAGTGTCTGATATTTGCGAACTCCTGTCTCCAAATCTTGATTATGTGGCTGGCATTAAATGTATGTCTTGAGGACAAAAAAATTATGTGGTTTTTGAGAAGCTAAAAGGCAGGAGAAGAACGTTACTGGATCAACCCAAAGGGTCCATTTTAATCCAGCGTCCTGTTTCCAGATGATTTCAGAAAGTCCACATGCAAGGTGTGAAGGGAAACAGAAAAGACAGGAAAACGATTCTTGAAATGGTGAGGCTGGAGGCAAATATCAGCAATAAAAGTGTGGCCTTGAACTGTCAACAACGCGCCTACACACAGCTCTCCCTTCTGACACTTGTAAGTAGGCAAAGGGCTTGTCCATACTTCTGCTTGTCCTGTGCGTAGAAACCACAGGGCCGAGAAGTTTTCCATTTCCCCCATCAGGCTTTCCTCAGGAAACCCGACTGACGTTTGCACCAATTCAGCTGTAAAGACTGGGTTTCCCCGTGGGAAAGTGGCGGCACCAGCAGAAGTGTGGACAAGCTCAAAGTGTGTGTTGTGGGAACTAAGCCCATTTCTGCCTCCAGATGTGTGTGTGCAGTGCATCTGCAAATGCACAGCTGGATGTTTGCAGGTGTGCGCTAATGGACACATCAGTCCCCAGGTGCTTACCCCTGGGGCAGGCAAAATGTGGAGCTGTGAGCCCATCGCTGTGGTTGCAGCTCGAATGTCAGGGTTTCTTTCTTCCCTCTTTCTGTAGATGGGCACTTGGACACTACCCATGTTGTAAAAGCGCATTTTTAGTGGGGAGAGGGGAGGAGGGTTTAACTGTCCTCTGGGATCTCCCTCCAACTGTCTCCCTCATTGACACACTGTTGTCATCAGGAGAAGTCAGGGGAGAGTAAAAAATAATAATAATGTGATGAATCCCACAGCCACGTTGAGAGGGAAGGAGTGGTTATGAGTAACCATATTCTGGGTGATTCATGTGACAAAGAGACCGCAGACAGTTGTGAGGGGAGCACAACACCCCTTTTGCCACCCTAGGCGGCTATAAAATGAAAGAGCTTATAAAGAGTCCATTAACAACAATCAAAAAAAGGAAGAACGAGAGAGAGAGAGTGTGGTGCGGTCAAAGCAGAATGTGGAATGGAGTGTAAATGGTTGAAAAGGCCCAAGAACAGGTCACAAAAAGAAAGCCTGAGGTGAAAGTGTATCTGTAAAAAGAAAGAAAGGCACTGGACAAGAATGCATGAAAATGGAGCAAGAGAAAGAAACAAGGAATAAGGGAAAATACAAAGAAGATGGAAAGGGAGGATGAGGGATAAAACCAGGTCCAGTCTCGTGTTTTTATGGGCCCCAAGCAAAAGATGAACATCAGGAGCACTGCCTGTGGCCTAGGTAGATCTCATGCTCAGCAATTTTGTGCAAAAAAGCACAAGGGACTCCCTGGCACTTTCACACTCTGTGGGCTCCTAAAATGGGTACTGCCAGACCTGGAAAAAGTTCAGACAGGGAGTGGATGGAGGCAACCAGTTTACCGGCCATTGACTCTGTCACAATGCCATGTGTTATCCAATTGTCTAAAGCCACCTGGATGATCTGACAAACTACCTCAGGGCGAATGCTCTCACCCTGAGGTAGCTTCTTCATCTGTACCATCCCGCCAAGGACAGGAATAATTTTTACCATGGGCCCAGGTGTGGCGAAATGTGTGGCACGTTGATAATCTCCAACCATTTTCTGTATTATTCTGTCAGGCGGTGAGCAGAATTTTACCACACACCAGGAGTTAGATGTGAGGTAAAAAGGCTGTCCACAACCATTCTCTGTACCATCCTTAGGGGTATTTACACGCTTCATTCAGTGAGGGTTGAGCTGTACGTGGATATATTTATTCACACGCAACGTTCGACCCGTACACAACAGCTGAGCTGTACAAATCAACATCCATCTCCACTCTTTTATACACATGCAAGTGCAGAGACGACTTGTACTTGTGCCCAAGGTGAACAAGCAAACTGCCATGCGGTTACAAGAATTTTATTTAACCGCTTGTCAGGTTGAAATGTGTGGTTAAAAATGACCCATGACGAGCCTTTGTGTCTTCCTGTCAAATGGTAAGGAGAATTCCGCCACGCACCTGGCGCAGATGTGCGGCAAAACATAGAATAAAATGCCGCCTCTGCATCTTCTCGCAATAAAATAACAAAGCGGATGGGGTAAAGCGTTGGCAGGCAAGGCAAGGAAGTTTTCTTCTCCTAACATGGCCCTAGTCTCTCCCTTCCAGCCTCTAACCTTACCCACTTGCACGTGGTTCTTGTTATCTGAGATAGGGAGGAGAAAAACACAGCCCACGATTCATTAACAAGTGCCTTTTTTTAAAGTATAGAGAAACAAAACGAAGGAAGAAAGGGGTAAATCTACTTGATACAGTGTTCGGTATGACTGGATGATTATTATTTGGGGGCCTTTTTTTGCTATCCTGTAGAAATTGCTGCTGCTTCCTCCTCCTCCTCAGGAGAGGGCTTACAGGAGGCGAACGAGCCAGACGCCCAGCATAGCCAGAGCCATTGGCAGGGAGAGATGGCTGGTGGGAAGGGTAGCAGCCGAGTTGCAGAAATCGCCTTCACAGCAGTAGTAAGTGGTGGTGTACTTAATGCCCGCATAATTTTCAGTTTCGTTCTTGTTGCATTTCTCGCTAGCGACGCAGTTCCTCTTCATGATAAGCCCCTGGCCAGCTGCAGCAAGGAACAACAAACAAACAAAAGGCAATGAATAAGGTGCATTTCATTGAACCTCACATAGAATCATAGAGTTGGAATAGACCACAAGGGCCATCGAGTCCAACCCCCTGCCAAGCAGGAAATACCATCAGAGCACTCCTGACATATGGTTGTCAAGCCTCTGCTTAAAGACCTCCAAAGAAGGAGACTCCACCACACTCTGCTTCCATTGCCTAAGGCCAGCATTGCTAATGGTTAGGGCATAGCTGTCAACTTTTCCCTTTTCTTGCGAGGAATCCTATTCGGAATAAGGGAATTTCCTTTAAAAAAAGGGAAATGTTGTCAGCTATGGGTTAGGGAGGATGGTGAGCTTTGGTCCAACAACATCTGGAGGGTGCCCTAGTTGAGGAAGACAAACATTTTGGCATGCGGGACACCCTTTGTGTGTTTAGCGAATGCATGAAAGTAAGGTTGCCATATTCCCAAAAGTGAAAATCTGGACAAAGCTCTTTTTTTGTCGAGGTTGTTGAGATTGCGGGGGGGGGGGCAGTGAAGTTGTTGAGCTTTGTTTTGGAGAGCATTTCAACTCAACGAAAATGTGCCTGGATGCAGTTTGGGCAGCCCAATTCCCAGACGCGTCCGGGAAAACCTGGACATATGGCAGCCCTAGAAAAGTTTTGCCTGAGAAAGACCAGATCATAATATTTAAGGGAGCTGAATGTGGTTTGTTGAGGCATTGCTTCCCAGGTAAGGCTCGTCTGCATCTCGCTTGTCCCGTGCAGGGCCGGCTCACACATGAGGCTGTTAAGATATTCCATTCCACTTTAAGAGGAACAGGCTGTTGTGTGTCACATGCCTGTTTACTTTCCAGCACAGCTTGCTGGGAACTTCCGTTTGTGTATAGCTTTTGCTTATGCTGCTTGCTTGGACGTGAAAGGGAGAAGCCATGTTTTTCCTTTGTCCTGAATAAACTGCTTGTAAATATGCTTTACATATGCCTCTTTCTGCCCTTGTGAATATAATAATAATAATTATTATTTATTATTTGTACCCCGCCCATCTGGCTGGGTGTCCCCAGTCGCTGTTTTATGCTGTGCCAAGGACCGGAGATCGCCCGGCTGCCGGCTGGTGGGCTGGAGCCAGCTGGGGGCTTGTGAATTGCCCCCATTTCCTTGGACGCATCCAACAGAGCCAAGGTGAAGCGGCCGCCTCAGATGGCAGAATCCATAAGGGGGCAGCAGATCCAGTTTCCTAGGAATGCATCTGCCGCTGCACGGGCATGCAAGTTGGAGGCCAGATCTGCCACCTCCTCAGCAACCCCCACTATGCCACCTCTACAGCAGCTTCTTGGTTTATAGGGGAGTCTACTGGTCTCCTCCCAGGGAGGAAATGGCAGAAGCTGCCCTCTGGGGCTTCTTGGGCTTTGCACCCAGCCAGCCTGATTCAGAGAGGGCCTCTTTCCGCCGCAACAGCCTTTGATTCCCAATTCAACCAACAGGTAAGGTCATAGGCGCCGACTCCATGGGGCCTGAGGGGGCCCGAGCCCCCTTAAAAATTCGTTTGGGGGGGCTCTGCCCCCCCAATAATTTAAGAAAATTATTAGGCACCTTGCCAAAAACCGCGCAGGGGACTCCGGCGCGCGCCTCCCAAAGTGACCGGGAGCTCCTGAGAAGGGGCGGGCAGGTCGGTCAGTCAGAGGAAGACCCCAGCGGCGGGACTTTAGAAAGGAATGGAGCTGCGGGGCCGAGGAACGGCGTATTCGTCGCCGGCGAGGGACCGGGGTGAGGGGAGAATGGAGGGGACGGGAGTTCCTGCCGCCGGAGCGGGGCTTTTTTTCTGGGTTCGGCTAAGGTGACGTTGGTAGGAGGGGGTGGCCGCCTCCCGGCGCGAAGCCTGGGGAGGGCAGGCCGGTTCTTGCATGCAAAAGCACCACTGCCATCCTGCCGCCAGTATGGACTCCGGTATGGGCCCCCCCAATATTTTTTATAAGTCGGCGCCCCTGGGTAAGGTTGATTCGATTCCTCCCTTGTTCCTGATGTACATCTTCACTCACACCTTCCTTCCTGGCTGTGTGTGTGTGTGCACGCGCGCGCACACACACACTCCCTTTTCTGGTCCACCCCAGGCACCAAAATGTCTTGGGCAAGCCTTGGTCCTGTGCCTACAAAGCATGGATTCAAGTTTTGCACTTAGAATCATAGAATTGTAGAGTTGGAAGAGACCCCTGGAGTCATCTACTCCAACCCCCCTGCAAAGCAGGAATTGTCCTTTGCTTTCTGGGCAGGGGGGGTCCTAGTGCTTTTCTGTTTGCCTCGCTGCTTCCCCCCCAGGAAACCCCTCTTTACTGCAGAATCAGAGCAAATGTCTATCCGCAGAAAACTCGATTGATGTTTGCTCCGATTCCGTTGTAAAGAGCAGGTTTCCTGGGGGGGGGGGAGCAGGGGGCAAGCTTTGTCTTGCGTTCCAGAGAAATCTTATGAACCACATCCCCTCCTCATGCCACTAGGATCTATCTGGCTTCAGCGGGTGGATCTTCCTTACATAAACAGTGTTTTGTAATGAATCTGAGTCAGCCAGATTTAAGATAGCCGAGCAGCTTTAAGAAATGGGAGAGTTTTTTTTGCCAGGCTTATGCATGTGGACTCTAAATAGCACTGTAATTTATTCCACATGTGTGTCTCTTTCATGGGGACCGGCCCAAACGCTCTCTCAGGGAGGGGGGGGGAATTATGCCAGGAACGGCTCATTGGGGGACGGCAGGGCAGAGAACAGAAGTAGGAAAAGGGTGGGGTTTGAGGCGGGGGGAGAGAATAATCTGAGAAATGAAAGAAGTATCTTTACCTGCTGCTCCCCGGATGGTAGCACAGACCTCTCCTGCTTGGCAGGTGGTGGTAGATGTATGGCACGGCAATCCGTGAAACGTGAATGAACATTTCAAGCACTGCAGAGCAGATCCTGAAGCACAGAGAAATATATATTTTTAAAAGGTGAGAGATATAACTGAGAATTCTACTGATCAGACATTAGGGCACAAGTCTTAGGACTCTGGTCAGGGCTAGCGGGGGGGGGGCAGGGGACGCCCTTCGCTGAAAGCCTCTAGCTGAAAGGTGGACCTCAGATTTGGTTTTCTGTCATTCAAGAAGGTCTGCAATTTCTTTTTTTAGGTGCACCAGACCAAAATGTGGCATACTCTCCCAGCTGGAAAAGCATTTCTTTCTTAAGAAATATCTGTATTCTAGTGCTTTATTTTGGTTTCATGTGCTGTCACTTTTTTCATATTTATTATGCTTAGGGGCATAGCTGTCAACGTTTCCCTTTTTTTTAAAGGAAATTCCCTTATTCCGAATAGGATTCCTCGCAAGAAAGGGGGAAAGTTGACAGCTATGCTTAGGGGCCTCAAAAGATGGGAGTAACCTGGGCCTCTCTGGTAGAGAATGGGGGCCGCATCCGACTTTTGTGACAATATAATAACATATACAAAACAGTTATAACAATAATAATGATTTATTGTTTGTACCCTGCCCATCTGACAGGGTTGCCCCAGCTACTCTGGGCAGCTTCTAGCATATATAAAATCATAGTGAAACATTTAACCTTAGAGAGCTTCCCTATACAGTGGTACCTCAGGTTAAGTACTTAATTCGTTCCAGAGGTCTGTTCTTAACCTGAAACTGTTCTTAACCTGAAGCACCACTTTAGCTAATGGGGCCTCCCGCTGCTGCCACGCCGCCAGAGCACGATTTCTGTTCTCATCCTGAAGCAAAGTTCTTAACCCAAAGTACTATTTCTGGGTTAGCGGAGTCTGTAACCTGAAGCGTATGTAACCTGAAGCGTATGTAACCTGAAGCGTATGTAACCTGAGGTACCACTGTGCAGTGGTATCTCGGGTTAAGTACTTAATTCATTCTGGAGGTCCGTTCTTAACCTGAAACTGTTCTTAACCTGAGGTACCACTTTAGCTAATGGGTCCTCCTGATGCTGGCACACCGCCGGAGCACGATTTCTGTTCTCATCCTGAAGCGAAGTTCTTTACCCAAGGTACTATTTCTGGGTTAGCAGAGTCTGTAACCTGAAGCGTATGTAACCTGAAGCATCTGTAACCCGAGGTACCACGGTACACGGCTGCCTTCAGATGTTTCCAAAATGTTGTAAAAACAGTTAAAAGCATGATATATAAAATGAGTGCGACAGCACTCTCCCTATTTGTGATCGAAGCGCCTGACTGTCTCTACGAACCTGGTGCCCTCCAGGTATTTTGAACCACAGTCTTTATCAGCCTACGCCAGACAACAGATAGGGCTGTCTTTAGAGAGGGTGCCTAATCTTGCCCAGGTCCTTTTTGCTCCGCTTGAAATTCCTTTGGAAGCTTTTCCTGAGAAGGGCTCAGATCTGCCTCAGATTTCGTTTGAAGTGAAATTTTGGGGCGCTCTTCTTAAGATACGGAGAAAGACCTCTCTGCTAGAGATTCATAGCCCCCCTCTCTCTTTAAAAGAACAACAGATCTCTGTGGCGAACGCAGCCTTTGAATGCTGTCACTGTGGCGGCATCTGACAATTTAGCAAGCTACGAAAAAGTCTATCTTTTAATTCCATCATCGCTGCCAATGGGATTAGAAAATGACGCACTAAGAGGCAGGCTAATGCAAGACCTTTAAAAGCAATTGTTCCAGCTGTACGGGCTTGTCTGCCTTTAGAGCTGTGGCTTAATTACAAGTTGTGAAAAGTGTTGCTTTGGGACAAATGGTTAACTTTAGAGGCAAACTGGATGAGATTGCCTACAGGCATGATCCAATAGACTCTTCTTACGTTTTGGGTTGTGGGACTGAAATGAGGAGGGCGAGAACCATGAATGCCACCTTGAGTGACTTGGAGTAAAGAATATAAACACAATAATAATAATAATAATAATAATAATAATAATAATAATAATAATATAATAATAATAAAAAAATAAAAAATAATAGCATAGAAATGTACTTGCATGGTCCTGTCTAGTTCTCTAATCTTTACATTGAAGAACTGAACGACCCAGCCCTTCCTAAATATTATCATTTTTCAGGAAATACAGGGAAGACCTCCCAGGGTGAGAGACTGGGAGGAGGAAGGAAAGTTCCCAGGTTTAGAGTCGGGAGGGTCCACAACTTTCTGTGTGAATAAAGGGTTAAGACTGCAGGCATAGGCAAACTTGGCCATCCAGGTGTTTTGGGACTACACCTCCCATCATCCCTAGCTAGCAGGACCAGTGGTCAGGGATGATGGGAATTGTAGTCCCAAAGCATCTGGAGGACCGAGTTTGCCTATGCCTGGTTAAGAGCTACCCTTGAGAGAGTACAGTGGTACCTCGGGTTAAGTACTTAATTCGTTCCAGAGGTCCATACTTAACCTGAAACTGTTCTTAACCTGAAGCACCACTTTAGCTAATGGGGCTTCCTGCTGCTGCTGCGCCGCCGGAGCCCGATTTCTGTTCTCATCCTGAAGCAAAGTTCTTAACCTGAAGCACTATTTCTGGGTTAGCGGAGTCTGTAACCTGAAGCGTATGTAACCTGAAGCGTATGTAACCTGAGGTACCACTGTACTCTGTGTTTTCTTTTCTCTCTCTCTCTGCTTTTTGTTTATACTTGGATTAGTTTCTTTTTTCTTATTGCACCATGAAAAAAGTTTTAATAAAACCTTTTTAAATAAGAAAAAAAAGGAGGAAATCAAGGTGCACACACCACCAAATGTAGGCATTTTAAGAAGGCACACCCACCCGTCACAAAAGAGTCACAGAAAATCCCACAAGTAGGATTTGGTCCCCAGAGATACAGGGCCATGGGTCAAAATTGCCTGTGCTTTTTGCACCCTTCAGCTCTCTATTCCCTCATGCCTTCGGTGTTTTGCAGAGCGGGATTATGTGCATTCACAGCTCTTTTAAATAAGCAAGCGATGCCCCGCCAAAGGCTCGCACAAATAAGACACTATAATCTCAAGCACACACACAAGCAAGGACCAGCAAGCAGCCTGCGGTGAGCTTTGCTGCAAGAAGCAAACATTGCAGACAGGAACGAAGCGGATGCCCAGTCTGGAAAAAACAGCTCCGCTCCAAACCACAGCCCTTCGTGGAAAACAAGACCTTTCCCAGGGCCTCTAAAATGTGTGTTTTCTGCAAACTGGAACAGTATGCCCTGTTTGCCCGCATCCTTGAAAGGGGAGGCGATGGCAACGTTTGTGGGGAAAGAAGGCGTTCCTGCACGAAGGTAACTCTTCTCTGAGTCAGACCGGAGGGGAAGCATAACATTTGCTTGCCTGCTGTCCCTTTCCCCACACTGCAGATCAGAATCCTTTTGCATACCAGATAAACCCTGCTGACACTACAGTGGTACTTCAGGTTAAGTACTTAATTCGTTCCGGAGGTCCGTACTTAACCTGAAACTGTTCTTAACCTGAAGCACCACTTTAGCTAATGGGACCTCCTGCTGCCGCGCCGCCGGAGCACGATTTCTGTTCTCATCCTGAAGCAAAGTTCTTAACCTGAGGTATTAGCGGAGTCTGTAACCTGAAGCGTATGTAACCTGAAGCATATGTAACCTGAGGTACCACTGTATTTGGTTAGAGGACAGAATGACCACTCCCCACATTAAATGGGGGGCACCCTTTGCGTGGACGCACGCAGCCCCTGGACCCTGTGCGGCTCCATTAGCACAGGCTTGGCTTCACCTCCCCCCAGGTGGGTAACCTGGAGGTCTTTGCCTACCTCAGCCAGTTGTCCAATTCCACCTGGGGAAGCCTTGCCAAGGAGACCAAGCCAGGTAGGGGAGGGACCACCCTGCCCACACAATAGGGGGAGGATCTTACCTGGGAATCTTCAGTTGGCTTCAGAGCTTCTCCCACCCTACCCACCCTCAGTTAAGACTTCTTTTGCAGGTTAACCTTTTCTCCACAGGTACGCAGGCGCTGCTACGTCAAGGTCGCTGTTGAAGGGCCAGAAAGGAATTCCCCTGCATTGGCAGGTTTTGCCTTTCCTGTAGCAAAACGTCACAACTTTGGCGGTATCAGGGCTTGGGCGGAATCCTTTAGTCTATCTTCCCGAATGGGGGGGGCATGCAGCAGTGACCCATGCCCCCTTCCTCTTTGCGTTGGCGATACCAGGGTTCCCCGTTAAAGGGGTTGTTTTGAGGGGAGGCTTTGACAGTACACCGAGAGGTCGTCATTGCTCTCCCCTGTGACGGCAGCATAACGGGGGCGGCTATCTCTGCTTGAACATATGTTCTCCAGAGCCGGCCCATCCCCCCCACATTGGATAACCCTAGGTCCCTGGCTGGGGACTGGGAGGGATAAACGCCCAATACCTGAGCCAAGGTCTACCCACATCTGAAATATAATAAAGTTGTGGCTAATTTAATCCCATAGCACGTTGTCTTGAGTCGTTATTCCACATGAGGGGGGGCCACCCAGGGTTTGGGGGACTCCGCCTGTCCACGCAAAGCACTGCCTTCGAAACGAGAGAGGAGTAAAGCCCCTGAAATCTACCTGGAAGCATCCACCTGCCTGGCCCTCGGTTCCCACAGACTGTGAAGCCACACTGTGGTTTGGAAAACTCCCTGTCCTTCCCCACTGTGTTTCTCCTCACGGCTGAGCCTGGCACAGACATCAGATTTGGAGGCCGTGTTCACAGGGTGTAGTTCTGGGGCCAATCCCAAACGACACATTATTTGCTAACAGATGCATCCGCTACCAGTTCCTGGGTTTGTTTTTAAATAGCAAGAGGGCAATTTGGAGCACAGAAATTGTGTGGTGCAGTGTTTACTGCTTCGAATTGTGAAGGCAAGCAAGCATTTGCAAGCTCACAGAGAGGAACACAGATAGGACAGAGGCTCAGGCAGGGAAATAACAATTACGGTATCTGCATATCCTGCCCCGAAGGGCAGAAGGAGGAAAAAATAACGGTTTGGGGAAGTGCTGCTGTCACTTAAAAGA